ATATATATATATGGTACTAGAGGAATAGTTGGATATGGAGTCAATTATTTTGCCTCCATTTATCATATTCAGTAAATATATAGCATCAGCCAAGGCGTTGTATGATTTTCGGAATCTGAAATTGGAGGTTTTGATACTAACTGGGTTATATTTGTTGTATAGGAATATTCCTTTCCAGTGAAATTAAACCTCATGTGGCTTAAAAAAAAATTGGAGCACTGAGATTTATCAGAGTCTTTTTTTTAAGTGTGAAGTTCAAGTTTCACAGATTATTAAAATGAGTCTAACTTAATTCCCATGTGTATGCAAAGTCTGTTGTGATTTAAGCAGATGACACAACCTTGCTTGCTGAAACTGAGGAGGACCTGAAGCACTTGCTGCAGAAGGTCAAGGACTACAGCTTTAAATATGGATTTAAGCTCAATATTAAGAAAACAAAGATTCTCACCACTGGGCTGATTGGCTGATTGGCAGCATCATGATAGACGGTGAAGAGATTGAGATTGTTAACAGCTTGAATTTTCTTGACTCCACAATCAGCACTGTTGGTACCAGCAGCCATGAAATCAAAAGACACATTGCATTGGGAAAATCTGCTGTCAGGGACCTCTCCAGAGTACTAAAGAGCAATGATGTCAGTCTGATGACTAAGGCCATGGATTGATTCAGGCCATGGACTTCGCAGTTACATGCTATGCATCAGAAAGCTGGATAATGACTAGGGATGATAGAAAGAGAATTGATGCCTTTGAGCTGTGGTGCTGAAGAAGAGTGTTGAATATACCAGGACTGCTAGGAGAAAAAACAGGTTTGTCCTGGACAGGATGAAACCGGGCTGCTCCTTGGAGTCAAGGATTCTGAAGCTATGTCAGGCATACTTTGGGCATGTTGCAAGGAGGGACCAGTCCTTGAAGAGGGACATCCTGTTTGGGAGAGTGGAGGAGAGGAAGACCCTCAATAAGAAGGATTGATTCAGTGATTGGGGTAATGGGAGTGAGTGTGACAGAGACAGTGAGGTTGGCACAGGATGGAGCAGAGTTTAGGGCTCTTGTATGTAGGGTCGCTGAGCCACAAGCAACTCGACGGCACATAACAACAACAGTGCAAGATACTCTAGTAGTCAAGGTTGGAAGATCCAAAGAATGACAGCTTGCTCCTTCTCTCTCGATGAAAAGGCTGTTGTTGGGTGCTGTGAAATCAACTATGACTCATGGTGACCCAGTGAACAACAGATCGGCAGGGTGGCATTGAGTACTGGCTTCTCAGACAGGCAGAACAGGGAAAAATCTCCATTGATTTAAATAATTCAAGGAGCCAGAAGAGATCAGCCGTATACAAACTAAACTCAAACCCACTGCCTTCAAGTTAGTTCTCACTCATAGTGCCCCTATAGGACATAGTAGAAGTGCCCCCTTAGTTTCCATGGCTGTGGATACATCATTCACTTAAAGCAGCTGATGCCTTTGAACTGCTCATAATTTGGTTATCAGCCAAGCGCTTCACACTGCACTATCAGGGCTCCTCACCTGATAGAGCTTAGGCATGATTTACCAAATTAATTGTATAGACTTATTGTTAGGAAGTTCAGAGGTGGGAGGGAACACCTTGAGCTGGCTCAGACAATCCGTATATAGGAGGAGAGGAGGAATTGGACTGGGTTGGACTTGCCTAGGTGAACATGGGGGTGGAGAACATTCCAGATGGATAAAGTGGCATGAGAGAGGTGTGGTGGTATGAAAGCTGGTGCTGTTTGGGTGACAGTGGGTGAACTGAGTTGTCTGGGAGGGGAAGAGTTGGTGTTGCAGAATTGTGGGAGGAGTCATCAGCTCTCATTAGTACATACAGCCTTTGCTAATACCCAGGTTTCCAGTCTGTATACCTAAATAAAACGTCAGTCAAGATCTTGGGTATTTAGATGGTGTTTATATCTCATGTATGCATGTGTGTATGAGATGACTCTGAAGGTCTGCTGTAATTCTCAGTGCACAGATGAGTGATTGTTCATGATTTACTTATATGATGGAGGGTTCCATATAAACATAAACATAAGCATAAACATAAACACAGCCCCAGAAAAAAGTTTCTTTACTGACTATCTTCTCTAGCTATAAATCCTGACCCAGGTAGAAGCACTCTCTTCTCTGAGACTTTAAATTTCATATAACCCAGGTGTCTTTCAAGATTGCCTGAGCACTTAGCTGTGGTTGTTTGTGGGTTCAAACTCTTTTGACCCCTGGACAGTTGCTTCACTTTGCAAAAGGTGAACTGCATTAAGACCAGTATGTGGTGTTGAAATACTCATTGCCTGGAACATCAGTGGTT